CTCCAGCACGACCCCGTCCTGATCGGAGCATTTTTTCCTGGGCCACGTTCCATATGGCTCTGCGCACTTCTGCCACTGTGAAATGAGGCACCCGGCACTCCACGGCGCACTGAGGGGACGTGTCCGTGGAGTAGACTTGCGCCAAATGCCCTGCGCACGTTGCCACGTCTGGACGCACAGCACACGTGCGTGTGATGGGATGCATGCGAGTCCTTGCCAGAGCATCGAGACTGGAGAACTCCTGAAGACGTTCCTTGGCTTGCTGGGCTCTCCACGCCCTCAACTGGGCACGCGTATGCCTGAACATTGCCCGAGACAGGCGCCGCCCCGCGTGTGCACTTGATGCACATGCCCTTCGCCGCCTGAGCTCTTTGAGATGTTGCGTATCCCGCGGCGGCGCGGCACCACGTCTGGGGGCGTGCAGACAGCCTTCTGCACACTCAACAAGCTTGGACTCCAGGCCGGGCAAATTTTCGGCGTCGTCATTGGCACCGCTGGTAAGAACAGGCTGTGAAAACAGCCCCCCGATCCGCATGTTGTAAGTTTCGGCGTTTTTTCGTCCATGCTCTCGTGGGCGGCGTTATGGAGACACGGCAATGCACGGCCCGATGATCGGATCCCAAACCTAAGGATTTGCCCGCCGAAACATGCGTGACGAGAGACCAGAGACACGAGGCCATGCTTCCCCGTAAACTGCACGACATCCTCGTCCCCGAGACCACGGCCCCTTGCATAAACACACAAGCGCCGCGTCCCCGTGGCCGCGATCTCTTGCAAAGTACTCCATCCTCGCGCCCCCGAAGCCATGACCCCTAGTAAATCACGCCATGTTCGCGTCCCCGAAGCTACGATCCCTATGTAATCATGGCAATGCGTTACGCCGTATCCGCGTCCAGTAGGCCACGATCCCTCGTAAATTACCTCGCGTTCGCGCCCCGAGGCCACGATCCATCGAAAATGAAACAAAACTCGCGTCTCCGAGGCCACGATCCCTCATAAAGTATACAATGTTTGCGTCCCCGAGGCCACGATCCTGTGTAACTTATGCAATACCCGCACCCCCGCGGCTGCGACCCCTCGAAAAGTTACTCCATAGCCGCATCTCCGAGGCCACGACCTTTCATACATCGCGGTATGTTCGCATCCCCGGTACCACAATCCCTCGCAAAATATGCAGTAGTCGCGTCCCCGAGGCCACGATTCCGCGTAAATGGCGCAATGTTCGCGTCGATGCCACAATCTCCAGTGAATTACGCATTGCACGCCCACGAGGCCACGAACCCTAGAAAATTACAATGGAGGTCCATGGCGAGAAACACCCTGCTTGCCTCCGGGGTGCCATGGGTTTCTTGGGTTTCGACGGTTGTGCTGTGGAAGGCGCGACGTTCCCACACCAAAAACCTAGGGACGCCCTGGGGTCTCAGGGTTGGCCTTCTTGAGGAAGGTTTCTTGTGGACTGGCCTCCACTGTACTCCAGATTCGCGTCCCTGAAACCACTGCCTCTGGTAACATTCTCTGGGTACGCAACGACCGTCCAAGCCGCGCGATGTTGCCCAACGTAGCCGCAAGCAGCCCCAGGTCGTTCCAGGAGGGGCTCCAATGCACTCAGCGTGAGGGAGAATTCCCAAACAGATCGACACAGATCTTAACCAGGTCAGCTGGATCTCAATTTGTCCTGAAGGCTGCCAATCTGGGGGAAATCAGAAGGTACCGATACCGCTAATCCCCGGACCTCTCCCGGGGTGCGTTCTGGCCAGAATTTCCAGGCGAATCCAGCGGTGGCGACGAGGAATGCCAAGGAGCCCCAAAAAAAGGAAAACGAGTGGAGGGTAGAGGTATGGGTACCTTTTCCTCCTCTGACAATCGCCCTCGCGAGAGGTTTCGACCTTGCTTCACGACGGCGCCCAAGCGGCCCAACACAATTCCTGCAAACTCTCCATTCTGATAGAGGAGGGGGCCGGCAGCAGAGGGCGAAGCCCTCACGGAGAACAAACAAAAGAAGGCACTACGCTTAGGTCGGGCCTGTCCCCCTACAGGGGGATTTTCGACGAAAAATAAAGAATACTAAAAAAACATTCCAACATGCTCAAAAAATCATCAACACATAGTCCCCAGACTATTTTAGAACTATTTTTGAATATTCCCCCTGTAGAGGGACAGGCCCGACTTACACTACGCAAACACGTAGCACCCCCCAGTTCGGGTCAAGAACGATGGGGCGGTCGGGGGTGGGTCGCGGGCCGGGTCGCACCTGGGACAGATAACAAACAACACATCGCAACGACAACGACAACAACAACCTGCACCGCGGAAGCCCACTTCTAGGGGAACGAACAATGACATAGACATACAAACTCGGAGGTCCGCGCGGACTCTTTGGATCGGCGCTGGAGCCCCCCTCCCTGGCGCGCGGAGCGCGCCAGAGGCGGCGCCGGAGGCGCCGCCAGGGGGCTCCAACGCCGATCCGAGCAATCCGCGCGGACCTCCGAGTTTCTATGTTCACTTTAGCCACGCACCGTTCGGCCCCCGCACTTTTCGGGGATGGACAGACCTCCCTTTAGTAAAACGTGGTTTAGTGAAAACGACTTCGGGCCCAAACCTGGCGGGCGCAAGCCTGGAAAATAACGGCCACGGCGCCCTCTCGAAAACCGAAAACGGACAATTCACTAATCAATGTGTCACTGTTGGGGGTTCTGTCCACCCCCGAACTTTAGCCACGCACCGTTCGGCCCCCCTCGCTCTGCGGTGCAGTCGCCGTGCTGCCGGGAGGACCAAACGCGGAGGAGGCCGCGGCGGAGGGGGGCCCCGCCTCGACGCGGCGGGCTCCTCGGCCACTGCGCATGGGGCCCCCGGCACAGGTCTCGAGGAGCGGGCCGGGAGCCGGAGCGTCCCTCCCGAGCCCCAGTGCGAACGTTTTTCGGGGATGGGCCGACCCCCCTTTCGCAAAACGTGGTTCGGTGAAAACGGCCTCGGGCCCAAACCACGGCCTCGGAGCGCAGACGGACCATTCATCAATCGACGTGTCAGGGTGGGGGCTCTGTCCACCGCCGAACGCTTTCTGATTCGGCGTTTCGACACTGGGCGGAAGGGGGGGGGTCTGGCTCCAGACCTCTGCTTAGTGTGACTGTTTGCAGCAGTGCGTCCTATGGCGGAGCCTCCGCCTGCTTGAGACAGGCGCCCAGAACAGCCAAGATCTACTCCATGGGGAGGGGGTACGAGAGCCCGCGCCGATCGGCGAAACCATGAATAAGAAGGCAATCACAGCATGGTCCTTCTTTCAGCGTCTACACTATGCATGTGGGATGACGATGAAGACAAAAGCATCGGAGGGACGATTCAAACATTGGTTCCTGCCGCTGGGGGAAGCTTGTAGAGAGGGTAATCGTTTTAGGTCGGGCATATCCCCCTACCGGCGGATTTTGGACTAAAAATGAAAAATCAGCAGAAAATGCTCCAGAATGGGCAAACATAATCAAAAAGTCGTCCCCAGACTATTTTGAGCATTCCTCCTGTAGAGGGACGCGCCCGTTTTGGCAATAGTGAAACAAACTTCAACGACACCTGCATCTGTGCCCACGCCCACGAGCAGGACTGGACCGTACTCAAACGTAGAGGTATAATCGCCCATGGCGTTGCTGCGTGACCGGCCCCCCAGGCATGTCTCAAGTAAAGGGGCCCTGGGGCACACACACACACAGGTATGTACACACAAATCCCAGGATCCCCCATAGTTTCACGTCATTATCCCATCTCTTCTGGGCTTTCGTCTTCCCCCCCCACCTCCCATAAGTTGCCAGTCCTTTCCTGGGGGTCGACGACTCATGGTGTCTGCGTGTTCCTGCCCCTCCTGGCTCACCGCCTCGCGCCCCGGGCCACGCACACGCCCATGCTGCCCGTCGGCGGCGAGCCCCGCCGTGGACGCGAGAGAGGGGGCGGACCCTCCCGGGAAGCTCCGGGAGGCCTCCGCCCGCCCGAGGAGAAGCCTCCTGGCCCCGCCCCCGGAAGGCGCAGGCGGGGAGGAGGAGAGGGAGGAGGAGAGGGAGGAGGAGGAGGAGGAGGAGGAGGAGGAGGAGGAGGAGGAGGAGGAGGAGGAGGAGGAGCCTCCCGGGACACGCGCCGCCGCCCCGATGGCCATGGCTCCAACGCCCACTCCCTGTGTCTTTTTGGCTCTGTGTCGTGCGTGGCTTCTGCGCGGGAGAATCTTGGAGAATCCCCGCCGAGGAGCAGCACACGCGTCCGAGCGCTGCCAAGCCTCCCTCGCTCTCACCTCCTCTCTCTCTCACTCTCACCTCCCCCCCTGGGCCTCCACCCGTCCCGAGGCCTCCACCCTGGGCCTCACCTCCCCCCCTGGGCCTCACCTCCCCCCCTGGGCCTCCCCCCGGGAAGCTCGGGAGGCCTCCACCCGTCCGAGAGAAGCCTCCTGCCCCGCCCCCGAGCGATGCCACGCCTCCCTCGCCCTCACCTCCTCTCTCTCTCTCACTCTCACCTCCCTCCCTGCCGCCCTCCCTCCTACCTCCCTCCTACCTCCATCCTGAGAGAGGAGGAGGAGGAGGAGGAGGAGGAGGAGGAGGAGGAGGAGGAGGAGGAGGAGGAGGAGGAGGAGGAGGAGGAGGGAGGAGGAGGAGGAGGAGGGGGGGGGGAGGGAGGAGGAGGAGGAGGAGGAGGAGGAGGAGGGCCCCTCTCGCTGGCCCCCCTGCCGCCCTCCCCCCCGGCCTCGCCGCCGCACCCCCGCCTGCGGGGCAGCAGCCCTCGGGCCGCGAGCGCTCGCGCCGGCGCAACAAACCTCTGCAGACCCAATCGCGCGGGAGCTCGCGGGCGGCGAGCGTCTTTAGGGAGCCCACAAAGGACGCACGCGCCTGTACATGAACACGGCCCCTCGATCCGCGAGACTGGCCGCGTGATACGAACAATTGCGCGATGCGCACTCTCGAAACCAGCGTGGATTCATGTACATGTACGTCCTTCTTTCGCTCATGAGTCTTTGCTCCGCTCCGGAGCACCGCGTCCCCGTGCGCCAGCTTCAGGCCGGGGGAACCTGGAGCGGAGGACCAGCAGACTGCAGAAACACATATCGGCGGTGGACAGACCGCCCTTTCGTAGACCTCCTCTCAGTTAAAACGACCTGGGACCGAAACCGACGGACCTGGGCCCGCAAAAATGACGGCCGCGACGCCCTCTCGCGAACCGAAGACGGCCAATTCCTTAATCGACGTGTCAGGGTAGGAGGTCTATCCACCCTCGAACATACCCTTTCGGAGGGAGGCCCGCGTGGAGTTCCTGCATCGGCGCAGGGCCCCCCCTCCCTGGCGCGCGGAGCGCGCCAGGGGCGGCGCCGGAGGCGCCGCCAGGGCTCTCTGGCGCAGGTCCAGGAAACCCGCGCGGGCCGTCGAGCATTTCCATTCGTGCGGTGATTTGCTCTTCGATCGAAGAAGGACAAATCAGCACAAGCGTTCCCATCGGTCGGAAGGAGTAGGTAATTAAGCACATGACATAGGCAGGCGGTGAACCTAGACTGGATGCCCGCTGGTCACCCTGAGGAGGACGGAGTGGAAAAGGTGAAGCCATTCAACCGTTGAAGTAGGAAGGCGCTTCAAGCAGATTGGAATCTGGGAATCCAAACTTGAAGGGGCCCTGGGGCACACAAATAAATACACGCGAAGAAAAAAGGATCCCCCATATTGTCCAATCTTTTCTGGGTTTTTGTCTTCCCCCCACTTCCCATATTTTCCCATGTTTTCCTGGGAGTCGACGATTCATTGTCTCTGTGTGGTTCTTTCCCTCCTGAAGAATTACTCCGGATTCCATAATAAAGTCGGGGGGGTCACATTTGGGGGGGGGGTCTGATTTCAGCTGCCTTGGAGAATTCGGGGGCGTCTGGGCAAAGGGCCGCCCTTCCATGGATGGTCTGGGAGGGTCTAACACTTCTCGGTCTGAGAGGGCTGAGACCCCCTCCCTTTGATTACGAAATCTGGAGTACCTACTTCCAACGACCGATCGGTAACTTCCAAAGGATTCCCCATATTGTCCAATCTAGTCTGGGTTTTTGTCTCCCCCACCACTTCCCATATGTTCCCACATTTCCCTGGGAGTCGACGATTCATTGTCTCTGTGTGGTTCTTTCCCTCCTGAAGAATTACTCCGGATTCCATAATAAAGTCGGGGGGGTCACAATTGGGGGGGGGTCTGATTTCAGCTGCCTTGGAGGGTTCGGGGGGGGTCTGGGCAAAGGGCCGCTCCTTCATGGATGGTCTGGGAGGGTCTACAACTTCTCGGTCTGGGAGGGCTGAGACCCCCCCTCCCTTTTATTACGAAATCTGGAGTACCAACTTTCCACGACCGATCGATAACTTTCAAAGGGCCGCGCGGATTGTCCAGCATTTCCTGGAATGTTGTCTTCCCCCCCACTTCCCATAGTTTCCAATGTTTTCCTGGGAGTCGACGATTCATTGTGTCTGTGTGTTTCCTTCCCCTCCTGAAAACTTGCCTCCTTTCCACGACCGATCGGTCAGTTCCAGATCTGGACGCCCGAGATGGGAACTGAAACAGTGGGCACAATGCCCAACGGCAAATCTTGTCCCGAACCAACAGCGGCCGCTGTTGGGCAGGCGGCATTCTGTCTCAAATGGACACAGGCCTCGGCGGCGCGGACAGCGAGTCCTGTTCGAAATGAACAGGAACTGCTGTTGGGCATCGTACTCCAGATTTCGTAATAAAGGGAGGGGGGTCTCCTTTCGGGGGGGATCTCTTCCAGGCCATCTTGGAGGGCCTGGGGGGGTCTGGGGACGATGTTTTGGAGGGTTCTCCCACGGGGGGGGGTCTACAACTCCTCGTCTGGGAGGGTTGAGACCCCCTCCCTTTTATTACGAAATCTGGAGTACCCATTTCGGGGATGGACAGACCCCCCTTTAGCAAAACGTGGTTTAGTGAACACGACCTGAGGCCCAAACCTGGCGTGCGCAAGCCTGGAAAATAACGGCCACGGCGCCCTCTCGAAAACTGAAAACGGACAATTCACTAATCGACGTGTCACTGTTGGGGGCTCTGTCCACCCCCGACCATTCTTTCGGTGCCCATCTCGCTCGTGCAGACCAGAGGGCCGCCCGCGGACTGCTCGGGCCTCGGCGCCGGCGCCTCCCCCCCCGCCGCCCCCTGCGCGGGGCGGCGCGCGGCGGCGGCGCCCCGGGGGGCGGGGGGGGCTCTCCGGCGCCGGCGCCCCGGGCACGCCGCGGAGGGCCCTCCCCGTGAAGGGCAGGCTCTCCTCGGTCGTGCCGCCGCCGTTCGGCGGCGAGCCCGTGGGGGGGGGGAGCGAGCAGGGCGACGAAGGAGGGGCTTGACCTGAGGAGCCCAAAATCAGGGGCTTGACCGAAGGAACCCCAAAAGAAGGGACCCAAAGGACCTAGGGAACCCAGAGACCTAAGGAACCACAAAAAATAAGGAACCCAAAATAAGGGGCTTGACCTGAGGAACCCAAAATCAGGAACCCAAAAGAAGGGGCTTGACCTAAGGAACCCAAAATAAGGGGCGAAGCGAGTACAGTCAGGGGCTTGACCTAAGGAACCCAAAATAAGGAACGAGGCCCCTTTTTTACCATGAGTCAAACTTCGACTTCCGATCGGAAACGTAAGGAAAACCTGAGGCAAGCTGCGAAACACTTAAGGAACGCGGAGCCCCTCCCCAACGAAAAGGGTTCCTTCTTCAGGGCCCCGACTGTAGGGCAACGAAGAACGACGTACACATCATAAAAACTCGGAGGTCCGCGCGGATTTCTTTGGTCGGTGCCGGAGCCCACTGGCAGCGCCTCCGGCGCCGCCCCTGGCGCGCTCCGGGAGGTGGGTCCAGCGCCGGTCCGAGAAAACCGCGTGGGCCTCCGAGTGTTTATGCTTATGTCGTTCTTCGTTCCCCTAGTGAGAACGGGCGGGCCTGCTCAGAGGGCTGACTGGTCCCCCCTACCTTCTGGGAAGTTTCCGAAGGCATCCCCGAAGACACAGAAAGCCATTCAGAAAGCCTCCAAATCTTCCAAGAAGGTTTCTGACCCTTCTCCGAAGACGCAGAAGGCCTCTCAGAAGGCGCGAGGGCTTATGAGAAGTCCGGCCGCCTTCTCAGAAGGCCTTCTCCTTCTCACTTCCCCCCCTCGCTCGCTGACGACCGATCAGTGTGCAGCCACATGGGCGACGATCAGACACGGGCCTTGCGCAAGAAAACATAGCGACCTTGCGCCGCAGCTTACGCGGGCCGCCAGCGTGGCACGCCACATTGGAAACGAGGGCGCTTACGCGCGACCTTACGCGGGCAACTTGCACGCGAAAGACGGCGCAATTGCACCCGTTTTTCTGCGTCGCTCACATGTGAACCTGAATTGCCCCTGCAGGTCAGACTTCTGAAAAACCGGCCAGGGCTCTGGATTTGAAGGATGTCTGCAGCCAACTGAACCCCACCCCAGCTGGGGTGTCCGACGCTCTTGATCCCTTCGAGCGCCCCGCCCTTCACCGGGGCGGAGTCGCAATCTCGCCATCGCTCGGACGTCCATTCCCGGTGCCATTTGTCCGTTTCGTGCGTTGTTTTTGCGCTAGATAGATGCTCCAACATGCTCCAAGATGGCTCAGATATTCTGGCGATGCCGAGGTTGGAACCCATCTGGAAGAAACGGTTATCAGGAATCAGAAGCCCGACCAGCCTCTGTCAACGTCAACATCCCGCCAGCAGGCGCCAGAGCACCCCTCGGCGCACACGTGCGCGCAGCCTAGCCATGGAAGACAAGCTACGGACGGGTGCCCAGCGTCTCAGCGTCGCTTGGGCCCGTAGGGGTAGGGTTCGCAAGTGGTCGCAGACTCGAGATAAAAGGCCTTCTAGATGGGGTCCGAGTAGACGGGTAGGAGGGTCGCGCCGCATCGCCAATGCATACGATGCATCAGCGATGCATCGGCGACGTCGGCGGTGAATCGGCGCAGCCAGTGGAGAAAATCGGGCACCGCACTGAGCCGCATCGGCGATGCATCGGCGACGCGGCGCGATCCTCCAACCCCATCTGTTCGGACCCCATCTGGGAGGCCTGGACGAGAGCCGACTCGGGGATCTTCTGACACGGGTCAATCCAGACCTGGGTCAGTCAGAGCTCGCAGGATCCTTCAAGATCCTGCAGGATCCTGCAATGCTTGGCAAGATCCTGCACCCAAGCCCGGGTCAGTGCGACCCTCGCCATGCAGGATCCTGCAAAATCCGGCGCTCTGGCTGACGCCCGTTTGTATTGAACCCCCTCAGAGGCGACGATAGGGGCGAACAGCCAAGGGGAGAGCAAGACCATGTATTCAGGTGCGCCGATGAGCTATGTCTTCTAAGAGGCTCCCAGGCGAACACGTGCAATGCCCGCCCCTGGGTTGTTCGCCCCTATCGTCGCCGCCGACCCCCGTCTCTTGAGCCCCGAGGGAGGGAGGGAGGGAGGAAGGGAGGAGGAGGAGGAGGAGGAGACCGACAGGCTTGTCCAGCAAGCCGGCGAGCTCCTCGACCAGGAACGGCGACTCCACCCGCTGCGGCCCCCAGACCGCGCTGCCGCCCACGGCTCGGGCTGGTGCCGGAGCTGCTCCTGGCCCTGGGGGGTCCCCCGCCTGGCCGCGCCACTGTGGGACCCCTGGCAAGGCTGGATCGAACCGCGAGATCGGACGGGGTCGGGAGCAGAAGGGAACAAACCATGCCGTAAACCTAAAATGAAAAGCTTGGAGGTCCGTGCGGATCGCTCGGATCGGCGCTGGAGCCCCCCGGCAGCGCCTCCGGCGCCGCCCCTGGCGCGCGGAGCGCGCCAGGGAGGGGGGGTCCAGCGCCGATCCCAGAAATCGGCACGGACCTCCAAGCTTGAATGCTTGTGTCATTGCTGGTTCCCCAGGCCGCCAGCGGATCGTCCCAAATCGGGTCCGAATCGAATAGACGCCTCCTTGATGGGGTCCGACTAGATGGGGTCGGAGGATCTCGCCGCTGCATCGGCGACGTCGGCGTGGAGAACAGTGGGCCCCACATCGAGTCGCATCGACGATGCATCGCCGATGCATCGGCGATGCGACACGATCCTCTGACCCCATCTGCTCCGACCCCAGGTAGGAGGCTTGGATCGAACCAACGGGTCGGGCTCCGGCTGGCCCTGTCCGATGCCGGCGAACCGAATCGGCATCGCGGCCACAGCCTGCGAGTCGCCTCGACTCGACTCGGACCGCGGTCGGGCCCCGACGGCGGCCCCCTGGGCCTGGTGAGGGCCAGGCCGGGCTTCACACATACACGACGGTCGGAAGAAGCGGGCAGAAGCAGGAAGCAGGAAGGCGCCGGAAGCAGATTGGGCCTCCGCCCGCCCCCCGAAGAGGAGGAGGGAAGAAGGACGCAAAGGGGACCCTTGAGGCAGGACGGCGCCCAGAGAGTAGACTCGGACCTGGGAATCCAGACGACTACCTACGTTCCACGACCGGCGCGTGTCCACCGCCAGGGGGACCGCTCTGTCCGGACCCCCGGCGCGCCCCCCCCCCCCCAAAAGACCACAGCCACCGCCTCCCGAGGTCCAGGGAGATCGAGTCCCCAGGCGGAGGTTCGTGTGAAAAGGCCCGCGCCTCGGCGCGAGGGGTGCCCCCCCCCCAGAGAGAGGCCCTCCGGGCCTTGCTGGTGGGAAGTCGCAACAGGAAGTGCGCGCCAGAGCACGTGCTTGAATAAGCACCCTGCGAACGGGCCATGCAATGCAGGGCAAAGACGATTGGGTGATAAATTCTGCGTTGCGCTGTCTTGCCTGCCACCCTCCACCACACCTCCCTCTCGATCTATCCTCCTCCAGCTTTTTTCCCCCATCCTCCTGCTCCTCCGTGTTCTCCTGCCCCTTCTCCCCGCTATTCCCCTTGGCTGCATTGAGCTGAAATCATGTGGGGTTCTCTCGGGCCTTTGCTGTCCCCCTTGTCCTCAACACGAAATCCGCCGGCCCCCTTGTGGGGCCACCAGGCTGTGGTTGTTGCTCCTTGCGCCAGTTGCAGATTCAAGTCTCCAATATGACAGTCCTGCTGTTTGCTTCCTACTGCACTGTGAACTGTTAAGTCCGCGCGAGGGGGGGAGCCCCAAACAACCCAATTTACCACGCCCGAGTTGCGTGCTCTGTATTCTGTGGGAGGCGTGGGACACGTGAATCAATATATATATATATATATATATATATATATATATATATACATATATATACGAGATTCGCGTACGCGAGGCCATAATCCTTTGTAAAGTATCTATAGTCGCGTTCCCGAGGCCAGAAACAATAGCAAAGTATGCAAGTGTTGCGTCTCGGAGGCAACAAACCCTTTGCAAGTTACACCATAATCGCGTCCCCGAGGCCATACACCCTTGCAAAATACGCCATATTCGCATTGCCGAGACCAAGAGTGTTCCAAGGCGTCCAAAGATGGTTCCAAGACGGCCCAAGTAGGCCCCAAAGGCCCCAAGAGCGCTCCAAGAGGCCTCCCGAGAGAGCACCAGGAGGCCCAAATCGTCGGTTTGACGAAAAGGTTTTTGAAGGATGTTGGCCTTCTCGCATTTTCAGCTTTCCGACGCTCCAAGACGGCTCGAGAAACTCCCAAGACCGCCCCAAGACAGCTCGAGCGGCCTCTAAGAGGGCCCCAAAAGACGGCCCAAGAGGGCTCCAATATTGTCAAAGAAGCGCTCAAGACGGCCCAAGAGGGCCGCCCCATGACGGCCCCAAGAGGGGCCCGCATCGTATATTTGCACCCCAAGAAGCCGCCAGAAGGCTCCGAGAAGCCGCCAAGAAGCCCTCAGAGGCGCCCAAAATGCGACCAAAAGCTCCGGCCCAGCCCGCCAACCACCCGAAAGGAACCGCAATCGCGCACAACGTCCGCAAAAAGCCTTCCAAGACGGCTCAGGATGGCCTCCAAGATTGCCACGTTGGCCCAAGATGGCCTCCAAGATACCTCTAAGACGGCCAAGATGGCCACCAAGACAGTTAAGATGGCCCCAAGATGCCTCCCAGACGGCCCAAGATGCACACAAAACGGCGTAAGATAGCCTCAGGCTGGCCCACGACGGCCCAAGAGGCCCCAAAGAGGCCTCCGAGACAGCCCCAGGGGCCTCCAAGAGGCCCTCCAGGAAGGCTCGGCCAAAACCATTCATGTCCCTATAGTTTTTTGACGGACCTTGTCATTTGCGCCTTTTCGGCCTTCAGACGTCCCATGATGACCCAAGAGGCCCACACGGTCGCCCCAAGATCGCACAAGAGGCCTCCATGATGGCCCCATGACGGTCCAAGAAGCCTCCAAGACGCCGAAGATGGCCTCCAAGACGGCCCTGGAGCACCCCAAGAGGGCTCCAGGTCGGCTCAGAGAGGCCCCCAAGACGGCTTCCCAAGGCGTCCGACGGGCCAGGAGCCCACCAAGACTGCCCAAGATAGCTCAAAGATCGCCCAAGACGGCCTAGAGGGCCCCCAAGAGGTCTCCAAGACAGCCCAAAGAGGCCTCCAAGATGGCCTCCAGGAAGGCCCGGAGAGACCAACATCATTGACTTTCCCCAGGGTTTTGAATGATTTTGGCATTTGCTTCTTTTCGGCCTGCATGCGCCCAAGATGGCTTCCAAGACGGCCCTGGAGCACCCCAAGATGTCGGCCCAGAGAAGCCTCCAAGACTGCTTCCAACGGCGCCATACGGGCCAGGAATGCCCTGAGACGGACAAATAGGCCCCCTAGAAGCTCCCCAAGGCCCCCAAGAGGCCCAAGGAGGTCCCCTAAGATGCCACCAAAAGGCTCCCAGGAAGCTCCCAGGCTGCCCCAAGAGTGCCCCCAGAGGCTTGCAAGATGCTCCCTCCTCCTCCTCCTCCTCCTCCTGCTCCTGATCTTCCCGCCATCCTCCCACAACAATGCCCCGAAGGGTTTCCACAACGATTGGGGAAACACATGGTCCGATAGCTTGGCAGAGCTCTTGCCACAACGCTCGGCCACATGGGCAATTTCAAAAGGCAGGGGGTGGCGGTGGTTCGCCGTAGGCGTGTTCGATAACGCCAACGTCCCAACATGCGCTGACGAATCCCATCCGCCGCGCCAAGGCAGCGCCAAGACGCACCGACGCGACTCTGAGATGTCCCAGTCTGATAGAGAGGGGCCGGCGGCAGGGGGTACAGCCATTCTGGATTATCGTATGATGTCTGTCCAGCCTGCATCGTGCAAATTCTGTTGTGGAGACTACCTGCAGAGTCAAGGAACCGCATGCCCTTTCGGAGCTCATCTGGGGCTGCCCGAGGCCCTCCTGGGCAAGGGCCCTCAAGAGGACCCCCAACGATGTCATACCACTAGCTCGTGGCATTGTATTGTTGGGGGTCTGTTGGAGTTCCTCTTGGAATCTCTTGAGGACCCCATCTTGGGTCATTTCTGGGGCAATCGCGAAGCCCACAGGAAGCTCCCGAAGCGCCCCCCGAGGATATCATACCACAGGCTCTGGATGATCCTGACATCGTTGGGGGCTCTGTTGTACCCCTCTTGGGAACTATTTCGGGCCCCTCTTGGAGCTCCCGTAAGGATTTCCAGGGCCCTCCCGCGCCGTCTTTGAGGCCAAAGGAGGGCCCGAAAATTGCCCCTAGGAGCTCAACGGGCTCCTCACGAGGTGCCCAAAGGATAGCATAGCAAGAAATCATGATACGATGTAGTCGGGGACACTTTGTCGGGCCCCTCACGGCAACCCTTTGGGGCCCTCACGGAGCTCTCTTGGGACTGTCTGGGGCACTCCTGGGCCGTGTTTGGGGCCAGAGGAAATCCACACGAATACTCAAAAACGCTCTGAGAGTGCACTCGTCGTTGTCCCTAACGATTATCGTCGGGGCCCCACTGGGTGGGAACTCTGTAGGGCCCCTCTTGGAGCTGTCTTGGGGCTGCCTGGGGCCCTCTGGTGCCGTCTCTGGGTTCGGGCGCTTTCTGGGCGAACGTAGAAGAAACCGTCAGCTCGCCAGTTACCTCTTTCCCCCGGCGGCGGACTCATGTCATAGCCCCGGGGTAACCGGGGTATGTAGTTACATGAACTTCTTCGGGCCTATGAGGGGGAAGAGGAAAACCAAATCATGTAATCGATGAAATCCCACCACCAGCCCTCCGGACTGAGGTGATCTAGCGGAGTCTTCCTCTTCTCTTCCAAGGCCCCCCTTCCATTCGGGGAGGAGAGCCCTCCCCCCTGCCCGAGGCTTTGTTTTGGATGCGGGCCGCCATCGGTCAGAGCGCGTCCAGCGCGGCCCAAGGGATCTCCAAGAAGGCCTCTGGTGCTCCAAGATGGACCCCAAGGCGGCTCAAGAAAGGCGAAGATGGCTCAAGCTAGCTTCTGACATAACTCCAAGAGGCCCGACGAGGAACATTTGGGAGGCCCCCCCCATTTGATCGATGGCATCCAAGATGGCCCAAAGAGGCCCTCCTGGGCTTTCAAGGGACCCCCAAGAGGGTTCCAAGAGGGCACGAAGAGGGCCCTAAGACTCCCAAAACAGCCCCAAGAGTACTCCCAAATGCCCCCAAAAAGTCCCAAGAGGGTTACACGACGCGAGTTGGAGGGCTCAGTCCTCGTCCTCGTTCTCCTCATCCTTCTCCTCCTCCTTGTCCTCGCCCTTGCCCTCATCGTCTTCCTTTTCCTGTTCCCCTCTTCTTCGTCGTCGTGGTCGTCGTCGTCGTCGTCGTCTTC